CAATTTTTATTTATATTATGATTTTTTTTTTTCTATCTCATAAGCTTTTTTAGTATATTAATTTATTCATATAATTTTTATTTTTTTATGAATGAATTTCAACTATGTTTATATCTAAATTTACACACATATATATAATATATTATTATTAAAAGAAAATTTAAAATTTAAAATTAAATGAATATTGGTGGAAAAAAAAATTGTATTATTTTTAATAAATAAAAAATTTGTACAAATTACAGTTGATTTGAATTTAATGTGAATCCTATTCTCTAAATTGGTCATTTAATTCTCTTTTCGGGTTGATTTATTTTTCAACTTGGTTTTCAATTGCTTCTTCGATCCAAAGAGATTTGGCTTTTGGTTTGACTTTGTCGGACTTTGGAGGGCTTTGGTGTCCGTGGGGTCGATTTGATCGTCGGCTTTGGATTTGATGTCCTCTTTGGACGATCCGAGCCTTTGATCTTTGGTTTGGCTTTGCCGCTTTTTAGAGAGCTTTGGTCTCTGTGTGGGCGATTTGATCATCGGCTTTGGATTTGATGTTTTCTTTAGACAATCCAAGGCTTTGCTCTTTGCTTTGGCTTTGCCGTTTTTGGAGAACTTTGGTCTCCGTGTGGGCGATTTGATCATCGGCTTTGGATTTGATGTCTTCTTTAGACGATCCGAGACTTTGATCTTTGCTTTGACTTTGCCGCTTTTGGAGGACTTTGTTCTCCGTGTGGGCGATTTGATCATAGGCTTTGGATTTGATGTTTTCTTTGGACGATCCGAGGCTTTGATTTTTGATTTGGCTTTGCCGCTTTTTGGAAAGTTTTTGTCTCCGTGTGGGCGATTTGATCATTAGCCTTGGATTTGATGTCTGTTTTAGACGATCCAAAACTTTGATCTTTGCTTTGGCTTTACCGCTTTTGGAGGACTTTGGTCTCCGTGTGGGCGATTTGATCATAGGCATTGGATTTGATGTTTTCTTTGGACGATCCGAGACTTTGATTTTTGGTTTGACTTTGCTGCTTTTTGGAAAGCTTTTGTCTCCGTGTGGGCGATTTGATCATCGGCTTTGAATTTGATGTATTCTTTAGACGATCCGAGACTTTGATCTTTGCTTTGGCTTTACCGCTTTTGGAGGACTTTGGTCTCCGTGTCGGCGATTTGATCATCGGCTTTGGATTTTGATTTTAGACTATCAAAAATTTTGATCTTTGCTTTGGCTTTGCCGCTTTTGGAAGACTTTGGTCTCCTTGTGGGCGATTTGATCATCGGCTTTGGATTTGATGTCTTCTTTGGACGATCCGCGGCTTTGATCTTTGGTTTGGTTTTGCCACCTTTTGGAGAGCTTTGGTCTCCGTATAGGCGATTTGATCTTCACCTTTGAATTTGATGTCTTCTTTGGACGATTTGCGACTTTTTTTTTTTTGATCGGAAAGATCAAAAGTTTATATATATATATATAAATAAATAAGAAATATAATTACAAAAGCACCGGGAATACCCGGGAAATTCTCAAAAACTCGAAACCCAACAAGCATTGGTTAAGGGTCGAAAAATGATGATAAAAAATGGGTCTCAAGCCCAACCACATCACTAAGAGATAATAAAATAAATAAATTGCCCAACAAGCCTGATTAAATTAAAAGCTGGAGGCATCAGCTTGTGTCCCTGGTCGTTTGCTGTCCGATGGAGTATAAAATTACATATCTTGATCTTGTCGATAGAAATCCCCGGGTCAAACGCAAAATGCTCCATGATCCTTTTGTTCCTAGCAGTCCATAAATAATAAATTGTAGCCGCAAAACCTAGGCACCGAAGAATCTGAATAGTAGGATCACGATCACTTGAGCTTCGGATCCAAGAAGCCGCCAAATCCAGCGATGAGAGAGAGGGTGGGGCTTGGATCCACTCGCAAATTCTCTTCCACACCTGGGATGAGAAAGAGCATTCGAAGAAAAGGTGCTGAATGTTTTCAGGGCAGTTCCTGCATAAGACACATGTGGGGTCACTATCAAGGAAAGTTAATCGATCTTTTGTCTTTAATTTCCCCGACGCCGCAAGCCATAGAATAAAAGAATGTTTCGGGAGGATAGGAGAGTCCCAAATAGGCTTGAAGAAAGACCAACTACTCCCCCGAGGTCTGAAATAGTCATAGGCTGCAGCAGTGCCACCATTACCATGGCGAAACCATGACTCAAGAGTATACTGGGCTTGATTAGAACTCCCAATAAGCATCGACAATTTATCCCTGATTTTTAGGATTGTTTTGAAGAAATAGGACTGCTGCGAGGTAGCCGAGGCCTGCCAAATATTTTGGGTGCATAAATATTTGTGATGAATCCATTTCACCCAAAGAGAAGCTTTATCGGAGTTAAGGATCCAAATAAATTTAGCAAGAAGAGCCAAATTCCAATCGGCAAGAGAGCGCAGTCCCAAGCCCCCTTCATCTTTCGGTTTGCAGATATTCGACCAAGCAACAGGGGCAGATCTATTTTGCCACAGAAAGGTTCTGCACAGCTTTGTGATTTGATCCAAAACAGTCGGTTGGATTGGGAAAATGGACAGCCAGAAACAGCAAGATCCCTGGATTATACTGTCCGGATCAGCTCCGGCCTCCCAGCATACGAGAAATTACAGCCGCTCCACTTCTATAAAAGGTCCGAGATTGAGGTAATAAGGCCATGAAATATCTCCACCTTGGGCTTTCCCGGGCAGGTCGGCACACCAAGGTATTTAAAAGGTAGGGAACCTCGAGGGAAACCCGAGAGGTTAATGAGACTGTCCGCCTCCTCACTTGGCGTCCCCGCAATAAAAATGTTTGATTTGGTGGCATTGACTTTGAGGGTTTAGGCAAATTGAGCTGATCCGTTCACAGGCAAATTTCAGGCAGCAACTACTGTGTTCATGAACGTCGGTTGGGCGATCCACATGTTAAAATATCTGAACGGACTTCCTTTTCTATCAATATTTCCAAATAAAGTGGCTATTGCTGAAGAGTGGTCCGAAAAACCCGACGGTAGAAATGATGCGCTGCTTGTGAAGCTTGCTGCAAACCAGTGGTGGTTTGCTATAATACGATCCAATTTCCCCCAGCATCGCTGATTGGTCCAGGTGAAATTAGAGCCCGAGAATGAAAGGTCCGTTAAACCCAAAGTCGTCACACAATGCATGAAATCCTGGAACTGATATGGAGTTACAGGTCGTCCATTATACCTATCCGCAGGAGACAACACAGAGTTAAAGTCTCCCAGGACTAACCAAGGCTCGACCAGATCGCTGCCAAGTTGGATGAGGCTGTTCCAAAGTCTCATTCGTTTAACAAGAGAGTTATACCCATAAACAAAGGAAATCAACACCGAGGTGGAAGAGATTTTACAAGTAGCTCTTATCGTGACACATTGGTCTTCAATATGAAGAGGTTCAACAAGCATGACACAAAATTGGCAAAACGGAGGCAGATTTTCATATTCGATAGAGACTAAGAACATATGATCTTTAGCATGAACTTCAAAGGAGAGGGTCTAGAGACTTACCCCTTTGCTTGAATCTTCAATGTAACTTCGGTGTCTCAAATTAATTGGCCATGGCTCCTATTTATAGGGGGGGTGGCCTCGGCTTCCTTTTAGAATGATGCCAAGTGGCGCGCCCTGATTGGCTGATAAGAAAATTTTATAATCTTTCATTTTTCATCAGATACCGTTTTTCATTCTCGACGGATTTGATTGTGCACCTTCCTTTCTCGCCAAGATCTTTGTATCATTGCGTTTTTTGGAAGATAGTAATTTATATAATTCCTTTATTGACAAGATTAATTTATTTTGCTGTCAAATTTATTATGGCTATATTTTTGCTAACTATGATGAATGCGCTAACTATGGATATGATGCCGAAAATAGACCGATTTTATATCACCCTTCAATTCGAATTAGCAAAAGCAATGTCTCCTTGCATAATATGGATTTTAAACATTCATGATCTGGAAGTGAATGAGTCATAATACTTATCCCTCGGTCTATTAGTGAACCATCTCTCTGAAAGATGGTTCACTAGAAATATTCTTGTTATTGCTTCGACTCATATTCCCCAAAAAGTGGATCCCGCTCTAATAGCTCCGAATAAATTAAATGCGTGCATTAAGATACAAAGGCTTCTTGTTCCACAATAACGAAAACACTTTTTCACTCTTTCGGGATCTCACTTGGAAAAGAAAATGTTCCATACTAACATATTCAGGTCCATAACCATGGATTCCAATGCAAGAGATCTTGTAGCACTTATCAGTGAGGCTCTATCGATTAGTATTACACAAAAAAAATCAATTCTAGACACTAATACAATTTGATCCGCTCTTCATAGACAAACTTGGGATTTGCCATCCCATGTAAGATCGGTTCAGGATCATGGGATCCTTTTCTATCAGATAGGAAGGCCTTTAGCACAAAATGTACTTCTAAGTAATTGCCCCACAGATCTTATATCTATCTATACGAAGAAGAAATCATGTGACGAAGGGGATTTTTATTTGTACAAATGGTACTTCGAACTTGGAACGAGTTTTTCCATTTTAAACATATTTTTGCATTAATGGTTGATATTTATTGTATAAAAATTAACATATGTGCATAATTAAATAATATATATTTATTTTATTGAAATTTTATTTTCTTTCAAAATACATGATATTTAATTTAATTTAGACATTTAATTTTTAATGCCTATAATATTATATTATATGATTACCCATAGCACATAAGTACATGCTAGTATATAAGTATATTAAATTTGGCAGGAATATAAACAAGACCAGTACAATTGTATTCGGTTGTAATATGAAACTGATCAAATCTAACATTATTCATTTTTTGTACGGTTACCAATAAAAAGTAGTATTATTTGCTATCACAATATATCACAAGAAAAAACTATTTAAATAAAAAATAAAATCATGAAAATCAATTTAAAACCAAAACAAAAACAAATTCTTAATAACGTAATTATTTGTTACAGTGAATTCAACATTGGGCATTCGAAGTAATAGCAGTAAACAAGTAATAATAATAATAATATTATGTATTACGTCTTACTTGCGCTTCAATGCAACAAAGAGTTCGTGAGGTGAATTGCGTAGAACACTCAAAACTCGATCGCTCTCTTCCAATGCCTTGTCGAACATTTTGTTCGTAACCTCACTTCCAAAGTGCCCTCTAAAATAGCCTTCCAAGGCGGCTCTAAAATTGATTATAAGGCCCGCGATATTCGTGGCTTCGACTTCAAAGTCGTTGGTTGTGAGCTCAATCCTCTCCACTTCAAAACAACCATTCTTCTCTATCACTTCTTTCATCTCTTCGATGCTCGGAGCATACAGCGCCAGATTGAATGCATCCACGTCGCCTTTCTCTACCGTACCCTTTTCAAAAACAACCATTTTATTTTTCAGATCGCATTCGATTATCATCGCATTTTTTTTAGGTTAGTGAATTTTGAAACTTAAAAATAAGTTTATAATACTCCATTTGTATACCGAATTTATGCATGTTTAATTATTTGGTTGTCTACAAAAATATATAATTTTTATTTATAGAAAATAACTTTTATATACACTTTAATTTATATCATTCAACATTCTACTTAATTATATATATATATGTCATGTCATAAGCAATTATATATTCAATTTATCCAAAAATAAAAAATAAAAATATATCTATATTATAATCAACCAATAGAAGTTATATTCATTAAAAAAATGTGTCCAACTCATATAATTATATTCTCAGTATACGGACGAGTATATGTTAGTGCCTAATAAAAAATATTTACTACATATATAAAATTTATAAAGAAAAAAAATTGTATATATTTATAATTTAAATAAATTTATAAATAATTAAAAGAAATTGATTTCATAAAAATAAGAGAATTTGAAATATATATATATATTTATTTATTTTAAAGAGATAAATAGATCATTTTACTTAAACGATCATCTCTGCAGGTACACAAACTCCCGTAAAAATAAGAGAGTACGATAAATTTTTCTATCTTAAACAAGAATATTTGAAAAATATACGAAATAATTGAGATATAAATTTTGGGAGCATGGAGTTGTTTTGAGAACGAACCTCATTTGCCATCTCCATGAGAATGGTTCCCAAAAATTCGAAGAATCCAATAGAGTATCGCGATGGACTATCCCGGTCACAAATTCCCGGCATGGTTAAAACCATTAATCCTCCGGGGACTATCTCTTGGGCTCTCGCGCTTATAAAAGACTGCATATCCTTGTTAAATTGCTCGGCGTATGCATCCGCCATTGCTTTCGGACTTCTATCCTTTGTGTAGTAAATCCTCCCTGGGTTCCACGCCGGTGATTTGGAGTCGCACACGGTTTTTGGCACTTGAGTGAGCCATTGAAGAGCTAAGCATGAGTGCGCTATATGGACCGAAGCGCGCGGCAATACCCGGCCGTAGAAGGATCCCGGGGCCATTGCCGAGTAGTATTGTCGCTCGGATGGAAGGCAAGCGATGAGTGTGTTGAAATCATTGGTAGTGTGATCGTTGAAGAAAACTTGAAACTCTAATTCTTTTTGCGAAGCGCACTTGTGTTGGACCGCTTCGATCACATTTTGGATAGCGAAGAAAGTGTTTGGGCCGACGGAGCAGCCGTAATCGGCTATGCAGAATGGGTTGAAGATGGTCTTGAGTTTTCTGGTAATTGTGTCTTGAACCATTCGTTTCGTTAAATCATGGGCAAGTTTCTGCACAAATCGAAGATAAAAAAAATGTTTATAGAAAAGTATAAGAAGACTTGTTTTATTATTATTATTATTATTATTATTATTATTATTATTATTATTATTATTATATTTTAAATATTTATGTTTGTGATGATGAAAAGAAATTAATATATATAATGGAATATTGGGTGACCTGATAGTGAGAGTTCTTTGAGTAGCTGTGAGCTCCCTCCCCACCATTCATTGGAAATGATTCTTCTTCCATTGTCAAAATTGAATGATCGTAAAAAACAATATTATGTAGCCAGTGAGTGATGATGGACTTAATTAAGTTTTGAGTAGAGCTGGTGGTGATATATATATATATATATATGTGCTGTAATGACCACAAGAAACAAAAAGAAGAGTCTAAAGTTTGAAAGTGTCAAAAGTCGGAGAAAATTTTTGAACATTTCAAATTTTTTATTTAAATAATATTTGTTGTAATGTTATATGAGAAAATAATATAATTTCTATTTAAATAATAAAAAATTAGATAGAAACAAACCAAAAATATATTTGAAAGTTGAGATTTGAAATTAAATTAAAATTGAAAATAATATTGTCTCTGTCTTGGAACAATGATTCATTTCTTTCCACCGCAGTTATTTAATTAGTGTAAATTAGTAGGTTATTAATAATAAGTTATGTTATTATTTTATTATTTTTTATATGAGTAGTATTATAGGTATTTTATAAATATAAATTAATAAATATAATTAAAATTTTAGAATATACATTTAAATATTTTTAACATTCACTACAAAAAAAATAGTATATTTGTAACGGAATTTTGTCACTAAAGATCACGTAGCTAACGTAATTCCATCATTAATTCCGTCTCTAATATCATTAGTAATGGAAAAAGTGAATTTAATGACGAAAAAATCTCGTTACAAAAATGATATTTTCTTGTAGTGATCATATCTCAATAAAATATATATAATATGAATATCATTTTATAGATAATAAAATTTTATATAAAAAAATATGTGTTTATTTAGTTATTTATTTATAATTAACTTAAAACTAATTTTATAAAAATATGAAATTTTAAATGTAAATAAAAGTATTTGTTTATTGATAAGAGATAAAAATAAAAGAGTAAGAGTAAGAATTTAATTAAATTAATTTATATTTATTAAGTATGTTTAACATAAATAAATTTACTACAAATAGGAATGTTCATATATTATGGGACCAACAAAAAAGAAAAATTGACCACCTTATAAAATCTGAACTACATATGCTTAATATAATTGTTACGCACAAAAAATAATAATAATAATAATAAAAAGGATAGCAGAATCTTAAAGAAAGTTAGACACGAAGTTTGATGGAAAAAGAAAAAATATGCACTCAGGTCGGTTGGTCCCAGGTCGGTTGGTCCCCGGTCGGAAGGTCCGCGGGTCGGTTGGTCCCAAGTCGGTTGGTCCTCGGTCGGTTGGTCCGGTCGGAAGGTCCACGGGTTGGTTGGTCCCAGGTCGGTTGGTCCTCGGTCGGTTGGTCCGGTCGGAAGGTCCGCGGGTCTGTTGGTCCCAAGTCGGTTGGTCCTCGGTCAGTTGGTCCGTGCGGAAGGTCTGCGGGTCGGTTGGTCCCAGGTCGGTTGGTCCAGTCGGAAGGTCCGCGGGTCGGTTGGTCCCAGTCGGTTGGTCCTCGGTCGGTTGGTCCGGTCGGAAGGTCCGCAGGTTGGTTGGTCCCAGATCGGTTGGTCCGGTCGGAAGGTCCGGCGGTCGGTTGGTCCCAGGTCGGTTGGTCCTCAGTCGGTTAGTACGGTCGATTGGTTCGCAAGTCGGAAGGTCTGCGAGTCGGACGGTACGCAGGTCGGATAGTCTGCGAGTCGGACGGTCTACAGGTCAAACGGTCCGCAGGTCGGAAGGTCCGCAGGTCGGATAGTCAGCAGGTCGGATCAATAAGTCGGATGGTTTGCAGTCGGATGGTCTGTAGTCGGTTGGTCCGTGGTCGGACCAAGTAAAGTCGACTGCTACGGAGATCGGGCGAAGTAAGGTCTGGTAATTGATTGCCCACTTAAGTGAACAGTAGTTTGGTCGCTTAGTGGGGGCGGCCAAGGAGTCTTTTGGTCTAGCGACCAGTTAGTCGCTGGATTAGTCGGTTGAGTTATGCAGTTGGCGAGACGGTTGTTGTAACTGACCAGGCGACGTTTCAAAACGTTTCTTTTGGGCGGTTGACGGCGGTTGCTGTAACCAACCAGGCGACGGTTCCAAGCGTTTTCTTCAAGGAATATTTAAGGATTTGGATTTTTCTGGAGAAGGCATCTTCAATCAACTTCAACAAAAGCAAAGTCAAATTTGGGGATCACCACTTTAAATTTCCAGCATTTTAATTTCCAGTTAATTTTCTTATGTACCGTACAGTGTTTAGAGATTCCTAATCTCAAGCACTAATTAATCAAGTTCGAAGATAAATTCCTATTTTCGGATTTTACTTTTTGTTTGTTGAAAAAATACATCAACAATAATATTTTAAATAAGAAGTTTATTTTTAATGTAATATAAAAAAGGCAAAATTGCTCATAATTCCCTTGTAGTTTCGAAACTCAGCGTAAATTCCCCTCTACTTTAAAAATTGCATGACGTCCCCTTATACTTTAAAAAATGTTGCATGAAACCACTTTGTGGTTTCGAAACTCAGCATAAATCCTCATTTTACTTTAAAAATTGCGTGACGCTCACTCATATTTTCAAAAATATTGCATAAAACCCCCTGCCATGCAAAACATATAGATAGGAAATCATCTTCTTATTACAAAGTTTCATGGTGGTGGGGTTTCATGCAACGTTTTTAAAAGTATAAGGGGGTACCATGCAATTTTTAAAGTTTAGGGAGATTCTACGCTGAATTTCGAAATTACATGGGAGTTATAAGTAATTTTACCTATAAAAAATAAAAAATAAATATTTTTTTTTAAAAAAAAAGAATAATGAAATCCATAAAAAAAAATAAAAATAAAATAATATTTTGTTTCTTGGTATTTTCTTTACTTTCTTTTTTAATAATAATTTGAATGCAATATTTTTAAGATCGAAATAATATATTTTTAAAGAAAATCATAAAATATAAATAGCACAAACATATTGTGACAAATGACCACACACACTGTATTTGTTTTGTATTTTTGAAATCTGTATCGATAAAAATTGATTATATGAACACACGGTATATATTTATCAATTTTATTAGTATGGAAGAGAAATACAAAACTATGAGAATGGAAATATTTTTATTTTCATTTCTCTCATTTTCGTATACTAACGGTGAGGGATTTAGTACAAAATAAGAATTTTTACTATTCATTGTTTTTTTTCCTTAAAATAATAAAAATATTAAATTAAAAAATTTTATTTTTATATTATATTAAAATTAATTTTATATTTAAAATATCAAATTAATGCTACCCATATGATATCAAATAATGATTCAAATTCAAATTTTCACTTTTATTATTTAAAACCTAATCTCTTTGTTTATTCACATAGGGTGTGTTTACTTCTGTGCTTTGATATTTTTTTTTTTACTATTTCAAATCAAATACCTATTTTTTATTTATTATATTATATTAAAATTAAATTTTTGATTAAAAACATTACATCAATACATATTTAAATCACATCAAACAACTGTTTCAATTCCAAAATTTACTATTCAAAATCAAAACTCAAAATCAAAATCTTACAATATGTTTTTAAGTTGAACGATTTCTTATAAATATTATTAAGAAAATATGATATATATATATTTTACTATTTATAAAAAGTTAACAATTCAATACAAAATATTACTCCCTCCGTCCCAAACACCCTGCAACATTTCATTCTTGGTATATCCCAAACACCGCAATATTTTCAAAATAAAAAATAATTAATTATACTTAATCTATACCCCACGCTTTATCCCCTCACATCATCCAAATAAAAAAAATAAAATATATATTTATCTGTCCGTCACATCAAAATTCTAAATTATCTTACTTAATACTACCCACCTAAAAACTCGTGCTAAAATCAAATTTTACATGTTATTTGGGACGGAGGAAGTATTTTTTTACATTATCAAACAATTCTTTTATACATAACATTAAAAGTATATCCATCCAAAACCACAAAATAAACAAAGATAATTTCTTCATGGTTTCCTGTGTAAACCAAAAAAAATTAAATTACAAAGTCGAAAAGTCTGTCATATATATTAATTGTTTAAATGTGCAATTTGTCGATTAAAAATAGAGGCACTTTTTATTATTTTTTATTTTTATATTTTTTATATTGATAATATAAAAATTAATATTTTATATTAAATACTAATTCTTGAGAGATAATAAAATATATATTATGAATCATGTTGAAAAAATATGAATAAATGGTAATTGATTTTATTTTGATTTTTTTTTTCATAATAAATACTTCTAAAAAATTCTCACCCTCATATTTTCACCTATTTTCTAACTAAATAAATACTCCATCCATCTCAATATAATATCTTGTTTTACAATACTTGTCTATCCTAAAATAATAATCTCATTTTCATAGATACTCATATCACACCGTAAAATTATTTTTACTTTTTCATTATTATTACACAAATACCACTACCTTTTACATTGATACATTCACAAAGACAAAAAAATTTTTTACTCATACTTTTTACTAATTATCAATATAATATCAATATTTTTTAAATAACGTATCCAATCCAATTAAGACTAGTTTTGGAATGGAGGGAGTATGTTATATACATTTAAATTTTTTATTTTTTTTATAAAATTGATATATTATAATTAAAAATATATATTTGTATTATTGTTGAGCACGAAAAAATCAATGTGTAGGGTTTTCGAGAATTGGCCTATTAAATTGGGTTCAAGATTGATGTAGAGTCTAATGGGCCTGTTAATAGTAATAGGACCTTAAAAATGGGTCCAAATATAAGTCCAAGCGCTGTTAAGAAAAAGCTTCCTCGGGAGAAAATTGTGATCAAAAGGATAAGGTCGGGCACGGAGGTCGGACGTGATAAGATCGGGCACGGAGGTCGGACGTTATAAGGCCGGGCACGGAGGTCGGACATGATAAGGCCGGGCACGGAGGTCGGACAAGATAAGGTCGGGCGTGGAGATCGGATATGATAAGGTCGGGCACGGAGGTCGGACGTGATAAGGTCGGGCACGGAGGTCGGACATGATAAGGCCGGGCACGGAGATCGAATGTGATAAGGTCGGGCACGGAGGTCGGACGTGATAAGGTCGGGCACGGAG